ACGACGCTAAATGTTTAAATTTGGTATTTTAATTTTCTATCTTGAAATATTCGAAACTGATTACAAAAATATTTCTCGTTAACCTAAAACAAAAGCTGACACTGCAAATGACGACGCTCGAACTCAAAGTCACAAACGCTGATGTAGGAGATTACAGAACATGTAACACTTAAACATTATCTATGGATTTTTGTAAGGCGTCGGGCACATCGGACAAGTCCATGAAAATGTCCATAGATAAATAAGCATGAAAATGTCGTTGCCCTAGAGTTAGTAAAATGAGTGTGGTTGAGGCGGTTGAGGGTCGTAATAGAATAAATGTTAAAAATTTCCTTATCTATGGAATAAATATTTGTAGCAATTATACACATAGATAAAAGAAGAGTATCTACGTTTGTATGAGTAGATTTACTCGCAAAAATTTGAATAAGTTGAACCATAGATAAGTAAACATAACAGGTTGAACAGATTGAAGACTTGCCCATAGATAAAATAATGGTATATATGGACTTGCCTTTTGGTAGTTTTTTTTCTTGTAGCCATGTTGTCAGCAGTGTGTCAGGTGTCAGCTCTCAAACTTAAAGCAAAACTGTCAAAAATCAAAAAACATAATAGGAATAAGTTTGAATGCTCGTGGGTAATTTGGAAAATAGTAAATAGTTCTGATAAATTAAAAAAAAAACAATTAAGAAAGCAAAATATCTATGTTAAATTTATGTTATAACAAGAAATAAAAATATGGATGGCCCTAAAACTATTGTGAGTATTGCATACATTTTACATATAGTTTATTAACATTTTTATGGACTGCATCTTTTTCCTATTTGTCTTATGATAATGTAATTATGTTTTATACTTACAGACATACACACACATCAGTTATAAGGATTATGAATAATTTAATATGCAATATAATTTATTTATTGTTTACTTTCTACTAGTGTTTATTCAAACATAACTCATTTTTTAAAATGTCACATAAAGTACAAAATTGTTTACTGTATTTGTTATATTGTAAAATTTTGCCAATTATGCAAAATGTCCTTTATAAATAATTTTTAGGTTATACCAGATCCCGTTTGTAAAAGTTCAGGCATAGTTGCTACATGGGCAAATCCAGAAATTTTATCTGTCAGAGCTTATCAACATATCACAAGTTCTACAAAAGATACTCCCTCACCCTATGAGAACAAAGATATAAAAATCCACCACATAAGGAAAACTAACATTCTTCAAGATAAAATACTTCGTAAGCTTGTTAATGAATCTATTGGTAGTTTTCTATCAGTCCAACAGGTGTCTAATGATAATGCCCAACAGAAATTAGTGATTTTATCGAGACAATACAGGTCGATTATCAGAGCTTGTTTAGAAAACCTTCAAGAAAAGGTGGATAACTTAAGTCTCAATGAAGAGAAGAGAAGTGAATATCAAAACTATGTCACTATTTTTTATTCTGTTGAATGCCTTTGGCACTTATGTGAAATTATATTGATAGATTCTGTTCCTGGTAATATTATTGTTCCTCAGGTTAGAATGTAATTCAGATATTTCTCCAGCTTGAATCAAAAAATATTATATATATAAATTTCATAATTTTAAGATTTTTCTTAAATTTTAGCTTTTATCTTGGATCCGTCTTCATTTCCACACGCATGAAACAACTGCATCTCAATTATTAGTTCAAGGAGTAGGGGCCCAATCGAATCCTGAATATTGGAAATGTATTAAGGGTCACTTAGTGCAAGGAAGAACAGATATTGTTCGAGCTTTGCTCAAGTTACATTCTAGTGCAGACAGTGTTCCGTTTAATTTGGCTGATAATCTGTTAAAAACTATGCCAATGTATAATGTGAGTGATATAAACTAAATTTAAACTTTATTCTGAAAATTAATCAAATTCATTATTATTACTTGTATTTATATCCCTTAATTCTAATTGAAAGATTTTAAATTAGAATTTAAGAAAATATTACTTATGTTAAATAATTAGTAACATTTTTTAAATCCTGATTTTTCTTTTGGTTAAACTTTATTAATAGTATTGTAAAGAATTTTCAGAATCAAATTCAAACATTTGCTGATGTTTATGAAAATAACGCACCCAATTTTACATAGAAATGTTTTTTTGCAGATTTTTTTAACTTTCTTTGAAAAAATCTTTTTTTAAATCAATTTTTAAAATATTTTTTTTAATGAATATATATATATATATATATATATATATATATATATAGGTATATAATTGCTTACTTAGAATGCTAAATTTATTAGTGTTCTGTGAATTAACTTAATTACATTACTTTTAGATATATGGATTTGTTTCTGTAAGCGATTTCACTAATCGTTGGCGACATTGGTGTTTGAATTGCACAGCGCAAATTGATTCTAAGGCATTTGTAAGTGAAAAGAATTTGGAACAAATAATGAAGGTAATAACAAAAATAAGTACCCTTAATTATTTAAATGAAGTATGAAATTGTAATCAATTAAAGAATATAAAGTAGATGTAGATGTATATTAGTAATATGTAGATGTTTTGAGCATTCCAAATTTTTCTGTTTTTTTTTTCAGTTATTAGTAGGCGATAACACTGCTTGGCGAGAGGAAAGAATGTTAAGTACTGCATGGTATGAACTATTTCCTGGTTGGTTGCTGTATACAGATCCTTCAGTAAAATGGTTTTCATTAAAACCATTAGTTCGAAGTTGGTTTATGAGTAATGAAAAAGAATCTTCTCTAACTCATCTTGATAAACTGATTTTAGCTGTGATGGAGTGTGATATTGAATTGGTAAGAATTCACAAGCGTTCAGTCTGTTTTTACATAACATTATTTGTTTTTGCAAACAGAAATATTGAAAGATTAATTAATTTAAATAAAATATATCATTCTTTTATTACTAACCATTATTTTGTGCAAATAAAAAATGTTTATATTAGAAGAAGTTATACATATATTAAAAATGTAATATAACTTTTATTATATATTTATTAGCAATATATTTAATAAATCCAGGTAATTAGGGAAATTCAACATATGTCAGACAATGGTTGGTTTGTAACACATTTTACTGACCTTCTGCACCACTGTATAAGGCTCAATATTTTGGATAATAATGAAATAAGGTAATTTTAATATAAGCAATTATTTATTTCAAAATATTACTTGAATTATTTGCAACAATATTTAAATAAGTAATATTTATTATGTATATATGTAGTGTTACTAATGAGCTTCGAGAAACTTTAGTATTAGAATATGGAACCCAACTGTTTTCCCTACCAGGCATGTGGGAAACAGGATTATCATATCTAGATCATTGTCCAGAATCTGGGAAAGCCACACAAATACTTTTATTATCAAGTTTACCCTTAACAACTGATCATCAAACAAGTAAAATAGTTAGAGCAGCCATGAATAGAGGCTTGCAAGAAGTCGGTAAGTAATGGTGATTATACGAAGGTTATTGAATAAGGATATTTAAAGATATGAAATATTTTTGTGTATTTTTTTCTCAAGAAGAAATATAGCATACTTTTTTGTGTTTAAAAATCAATATTTAAAACTATATTATTATGATAATCTAGATTAACCTTTATTTTGAACAATATTATGCATATGTTTCATAAATCTAATATGTTAATATTTTAAAAAATTAATTTTCCGCTCACCTGAAAAGAATATTAGTTTTTAATAAAACGTCTTAAATCAAGAATAAATTTGAGTTGCTTTAAGATCATGGATGGTTTTTTATGATGACAAATGATTAGATCAACTAACTTCTAATTTGCATATATTATATTTAAAATTGCAGTTACAACCGTCTGTAAAGTACGTGGAATGCTATACCTAAATAGAGGCCGATTAGGTAATGCTTTAGCTTGGGCATTAAAATCTCAAGATAGAGAATTTGCCACACATATTGCAGATAAATTTTTAAGAGTGAGTATTATTAAGTCAATTTTCATTACTTTTAATAATAGAATAAAACTGTAATAAAAAATTGTGTAATATTAATTCTAGTCATACAACGAAGAAGCTTCTTTAAAATCAAAGGATATGTTACAATCTTTGGGTTCATGCATGTTGCTAAGTGATAGATTGATATTTTTAGCTAAATATCTTGAATTTCATAATTTATATCAATCGAAGTCTTTTGTTGAAGCTGGGCAATTGTTAGTATCTCTTTTAGATATTACTCCAAAATAGTAAGTATTCAATTTTATTCGTTTTTACACATGTTTATTTATTAATTATTACTAATGTTTTTTAATATTTTTTTTTTTTAGTTTTTGGTACACCCTGCTTACTGATGCATTACCTCTCTTAGAAGCGGATGATTTGGTTTTCGATAGTGAAGCAACTCATACAATAATGCAAAGCTTAACAACATTTTGCAATGATTTTAAATTTTCTAATGATGATGCAAAAAGTGATGAGGTAGGGTTAACAAAATACCATTCATTCATTAATTAATAATAATCAATTTATTCTTTTTTTATAGATAAAATTAATAAGATATGCAGCTGCAAGAAACCTGTCAAGAGCTTTGATCAAAGAGGGATGTGAAGTTTAATTTTTCATGAAATTGTAAACGCTGTATATTTTTTTAATAAAGCCTTGAAACTATACATTTTGATATATAGAAATTGGTAATTCCGGAATGTTAATTGAATTGCTACTTTGAATCAAAGAGCATGATTTATATTTTTAATTCAGGAATGAAAATAATTAAAATAATCAAAAATTATGACCAAAAGAGATATATATATATATATATATATATATATATGATACAAAGTTTTACTTTATACAACTATTTGTTTCAAATTTTATATGCTAAATTTTAAATTGTTACTGAATTGGCGCGCAATATGAATCTGACGTTTCAAAAGCTTCAATATGCTTGTGTTAACCTAAAATTGTTAGTGTAATAAATCACATCAGAAATGTGTTAATTAATGTGTTCTTATTAGGTATTTTTATTCAATTATTTAATTTATAATTTATACTTAACATCTAGAATCTATGCATTTGTTTTGCATGTCACAGGGAAAATCATTTCATAGGTTATGTGAAAATAAACATTGATATCAATTATTCAACAAATAATATTGTTTTTATTTATATTTTATTTACTTCATAGAATCATTTTATCTACTTTATTATATCACAAGGCCCTAAGATTATTTTGCAACACAAAATCAACGAAATGCCAATGAAAACTTGTGCTATATATTAAATATCTGATTTGATATTTTTAATTAATTGATATACATAATATATATATATATATATATATATATATATATCAGCTTGAAAATACCAGCACACTGCATGCTTTTTTGCACTATTTATTGAATAATGTTATGATACAAACTTCTCGACACTATTTTTTTTATCATATCTTTATATATATATATATATATATATATATATATATATATTTATTTATTTATTTATTTATTTAATTATTTATTTATATGTAATAAATGGAGATGGGAAAACTCGCACACTACTTCTTCCCTGAATCGACTGGGGGTGTAACTCAGCTCACAGGCCTGCCTATATATATATATATATATATATATATATATATATATATATATATACATATATATACATATATATAGAATGTACCAAACATTTGTACTTTACATACCATATATATATGTATATGTTGTTCAAAAATAGTTGCATATACTTATCTATGAGCATAAAATTATATTCAAATAAAACTAACATCTACTTATTTTTTATAATCTTTCAATGTGAGGAATCAAAACTCATTTATTCAGAAAATATTTTTAAGATACCTGTTGCATAAAACACTACTGAACTAACATTACTGTTTTCATTTATTTTTATTCTGCTATAAACACTCTTATATCTAATTTTACTAGCATATTTAATATACTCTCTCGCTTGCTCAAATCAGTAATCAGTATATCCTACTTATTTTTATATATATACTTTTGTCAATTGTTAATATCCCTTATAGGTATTACTCCAAAATTTGTACTTGCTCAAATCAGTGTCCTTACTTATCTTATCCGAACATGTTTTATTCAATATAATGATTTATATCACCAAATAATTGTCTTATGTAAATTATTCATTTTACTATGTTGTTGTACCAGCTCATATGCTATTCGATAATGAAAAATTAAAATACGAAATTTTTAACTTGTTCCAGGGTTTTATATAGTTGTTAGAAAAGAATTACAGTTTTCAAATTATGGTACATATTAAATAAGCAAGCAAAGTATTCGCACACTCTTACTGAAATTGAAACAAGAAAGTGTTCATAATTTATACTTATAATTTTATTCATAGTTTTTAGTAAATAAAGTTGTTTATTATTGGTTACATATGATTCTTATACATTCAAGCATAAAAACTAGTGGAGCATGGCATCGTGCCTTACGGCAAATTGCTGGAACTTCCCATGCCATAATTTAAATATTTTAAATACTTTGAAATTATTTGAAAATTTTTTATTTGTTTTTCAAAGCAATTGCGGTGCTTTAGAAATATTAAAGCGCGTAGTGCTGCGTCACGGTCTAACGGTTAAACATTACAAATATTGATACGGAACTCATAGAAATGTGAACAAATTTGTCACTTATTGTTAAAATCTATATAAAATATCTGATAATTTGACGCACATTTGTCTACTGGTTATTTTTGACCGTGAAATGATTTTTTTTTAACTTTTTTTATTAAATCTCTAAAATTGCTGCACCCGTCTTTCCGCAAGTTTAACCAACTCTTTATTATATCAATGCAATAAGTGATATGTTTTTTTAATCATTCAAATCAGACGTTCCGTTCTTTGAAAATTGCAGTTCTTGCTACCTTTTGACCCGTATGCTCGAATAAGCTGAACCTGCCTTTGTCAAAAACTAATCAGCACGTGTCGTCATCCATATAATTGAATGATTTTTGAATCATTCAAACAGGACGATCCGTGCTCTCGAAATAGTGGATAAAAATTTTCATTTTCGATTTTTTGCGATTATTAATTACTATAATTGTAACTCTACGGATTATAATATATTAATTATTCTGAAATTATAGAAGAAATATAACAAATTTTCTCTATTTCAGGTAGTGAAAGATGTGAAAAAATCAATTTTGAAGTTTTGTTTTAATATTAATTTTATATATTGTTGTAATATCAAATTTGGTGATTTCAATACGCAGTACAATGACGAATAATTTGTGGGTTTCGATGACGCATACGATTGCTCTGCGAAGGAATACCGATGATTCATGATTGTATTGGAAATGGGTTCTCGTGGACATTCTACGCATACTAAGAACCTAGTATTGAATTCCAGGTATGTTAAATGTTTACATTAGTTTATTGCATGCTTTTGTGGTTTATTAAGTACGAACTATGGAAATTTGAGTTGAAAACGATTGAATCATTTTCTGTATTTATTGTCATCAGCATAAATCAATCTTATTTCCAATTGATTTTTAACTGAGAATTGTCTTTTTATCCCACATGTAGTCATTTATATATCAATCCACTATTTCTGTCCCTAAAAATCATTTTTACCATCATTATTCGTATTAAGATATGAAAAAAATTTACCATTTGTACTAGAATTTGAATACGGCGTTGTATTGAAACGTCTAACAAATTCACAATTTTCTGTTTAAAGATTATTTTAATCTATCATTTTTAGTATTAAAATATGAAGCAAAAATCGCAATAATTTAAATACGTTCTAAATATTTAGTGCATGGTGATAGAAATGCAAACCTATGTAATTTTTAATTTACTTCTCTTTCTGCAATATAAATGTACTACACATTTTCATTAATTTTCTTGTTAATAGATGAAAAATAAATTACATAGATAAAAATTAGCATATTTTTCCTACTTTGTGTACACTTAGGCTTCGAAAATATGGTGCAGATCGAAAAATCAATGTATGATAATACAACTCCGAATTATACTTTTTTTCAAAAATACAATCTGTTTTTATATAACAAAAACATTCACTAATAATTATGACTTTACAAACCAAGTGGTATTTTGAGAGGAGTATTCTTAAAATTACATAATCTTTTTTCTTTATTTAGAATTTACACGTTCAATATTTAACATACTTGACAATTGTCTATTTCGTTTTAATTATTTTTATAAATTCCACTGTTTAAAAAGTCCTACCTAAATCAATCTATCTCTCAAATATCGAAGTGAAAGATCTCTCTGCTTGTTTATTCAATAGTTTTTATTAAATCTATGCATCGAGCTTTTATTGCGTAGTTTCATAATCGAAAAATATTTAAAAAAATGATTAAAAAATAATACATTTTTATTCAAATAATAAAGTAATATTTCAATGTGCTTAATATAACGGATTAAAATTTTCGCTAATAGTTGAAGTGAGTTTCTCTATCATTCAGAATTAAAGTTCATGCACAGGAATTGCATTTGCAATCAATATGCATCAATTTTATAAGTAATAATAACAGTATATATATATATATATATATATATATATTATGTGTATATGTATGTATCAAATATAATTTGTTATTTATTCGTTTTCCCACGGTAATTATTCAGCTATAGTTGCATTCAGGCTGGTCGCATGCATATGAAGCATTGCCAATTAGATGGACACTTCAAAAGTAGTTCAAGGCAGGACACCAAAGGCGAAATAAAGACTAACATTGCATTGAAAATGACCCACATTGCCTTATATATTTCAAATAGAAATTGGAAAATATAATTTACGTTTTAATCCCATTATGCCTATAGAAATTTTTATATAACTAAACTGTGCAGGAATTTCTGTTTAGATCTTTTTGAAAAGTTTTATGTATCTTGATACAACATTTAAGACTGAAATTTGCATATCCCAATTTGAACCATATTTTTTATATATGCATTTTAAAAGTAATTAAATTGTGCTGGAATTTCAGATTGTCATATTTTGAAAATCATGAAAAGTTTATGCATCTTCTTACAACATTCAAGACTGAAATTTACATATCCGGAACTACATTCATCCAAAAGGCAATCATCTAAGTTAGGATGGAAGCTTGTTTTCAAAATTAATAATTTTTCATACGTTTCGAACAAAATGTAACTGATTTTTCTTAAGACGATAAAACACACAAATGTTTAAAAAACCACGAAACCAGACTATGGTCAAAATGTATTACCGTCATATTCATGAAAAAAGTATAATATAATTAATTAAATAACCCTAACAATCATGTGTGTAAGTTCATCTGATATATTATGAATTAACGAATTTTAAATTTTACTATAAATTACTTGTTAATTAATTCTATACCAAACATCTTGAAAATATTTATCACTGATGTATGAAGACATTGAACTTTCAACCAATTGTTTGCATAAAATGATATTTTAATTTTATACTTTGGGTTGTTCTTAATTTTGAAAAGTTGATCTCTATCCTAGGTGATGATTGTCCAATCTTCTACTCAATTCATCGAATCTTTGCAATAATTGTATTCAATTTGGCGATCCATTTGATGTTTAGTGTTTTTTAATTAAATTGCGATTCATCTATTATAATGGTTTTATTATTTTATTTATCAGTATTATTTTCAATATTATTATTTATTGTTTCTTAG